TCTTTCCCTTCTTTGCAAATGCTCTGTGGCTATGGTGGTGGGTAGGTCGAGGAGAAAAACTGCGGTTGGAAAGATGTCTTTAAATTTTGGTTTCAAAAGCAGTGGCTATGAAAAAACACTGACAAAGGCTTGGTGTTTACTGTAAGATATTGTGGCTCTTGTGGAAAAGCTTTTTGCTACCTGTATTTTTTAATAAGAAAGCCCACAGTGCATTTAATCCTTTTCTGGAATAGATAAGGATTTCATAAAAACTGAGATTTCAAGCAGTTTTCATACTAATAGTGATTTTCTTTTCCTAGTTATATTTATTGAAATTATAAAAGCAGGATTCTTATCTAACATAAACCATTTACTTCAGCTCATATTATTCATGCATTTTCATAGGAAACTTAAGAAGCATTTTGATTGATAAGTGTGTCTTACAGTTTTATAGTGGTCCTTTGTAGGGGAAAATGACCTTGAGGAGATTCTTTTGTGTGTTATATATGTCATATAGTGTGTTATCTGAAAGAATTTTGTTTCCATATGTAAAAAGTAATAGGATGGAATTTTTGTGTTTCTTAAAAAATGTAATTAACATTTTTGATATAAATCTTAAATGCAATTTTACCAGGAATCACCAGATTTGATCTGCTTGGAGACTTCGGAAGATTTAACTGGTTGGGAAACTTCTATATTGTGTTATCTTACAACATGCTCTTTGCTATCATGACAACATTATGTCTGGTCAGAAAGTTCACTTCTGCTGTGCGAGAAGAGCTCCTGAAAGCATTAGGTAATACAGCACTGAAAATTCAGTTTGTACTTGGATGTTCCTTTCTCCAGCATTGATACCTTGAGGTGCTAGTGTTAAAGTTCTGTTACAGCTCAAAGAAAACCTTTTTTTGGTGAAAGTTTGTGTAAGTTAAGGTGAGAATGCATAGCTTTATGTTTGTTTGGTTTTTTTTGGTTTTTTTTGAAGAGTCAAGAGCTAAGGTACAATGTTGATCTTAACGATCAACATTGTACCTTATCAATCTGCAGTTAGATTTTCAGCCTTTAGAGAGCACAGAAACATTCTCATTGCTACTAAGCAATTATTCCAAAATAAAACCTCAACTTGTTTGTGGGTTGGCTTTTTTCTTTTCTGTTAAGATAGTTTAGTGGAAGTCTTAACTGCTTTGTTGTGATACTTTTTTTTTTTTGAGCACTACATGTTCAGAACATCTTTGTACAGAATATACAGAATCTTAGTAGCTGACTGACTAAAACCTGTACATGATATTATCTAAATTTTGTTCAAATTGTGCGTTAATGTTTCTTGGCCATAGAAGAAAGGCTTGAAACGTATTTGATACTAAGAGGATAAAATGTACATATTTAGTACTTGTGTTGTTACTACATGTTATCTTTATTAATTAATGAAGCTCCTACCTCTTTAGAACCCTAGAGTAGTGTTTGCTTAAATTGAGAGGAGTAATGGTGCAGTGTTTATAACTGTGGATTCAGTTTGTAGTGTCTGAAAGGTCCTTGTGTTAGTTTTCATCGATTACTGCTTTCCAGAGTTGTGACCCTGGTAAACAAAATCCAAGCACTTCCTAGAGAGCACCTCTTCTGGTGGCAATTAAATTAAAATCAGACCTACTAAATAGGGAAATGCAAAATGACTGCTAGTGTAGGATTGAAACAAGCCATTCTGCAACTTTTGATGCTGAGTTTCAAAGCTCTGGGGGATCAGATTAGTAGGCCAGGGTTGTGTGAATATGTTCATTGATTTTTATGCTGAAAATATTTCCAGAGACGTTCCATTGTTGATTGAGAGAGATATATGATACAAATAAAATGTATTTGACATTATCCCCCAGCTTTTAGTTAAGGTCACTTTAGGAGAAGACCTTGATTCATCTCTTTCAGTTGACCTGCATAATCCTTTTTTTTTTTTTTTTTTTTTTTTTTTTTTTTGTGCAACTGTTTTGACTGTAAAGGGATTAGTTTGTATAATGTAATGGCTGTTGCAGAGCTCTGAAGGAAATAAATTGACATCAGTCATCATGGGCTTATAGCAACAGGTCTGGTAAAACTTTAAAGTTTCTTTCTTAAAGCAAATGATGTAAAAGATTTATCTTGATAATCCATGGCACTTAACTGTATTAAACATATAGTGTTTAATAAAAATTATGTGTGTTGAAAGCAGATTAACAAACTTCAAAATACCCAGGCATAGTAGGGTAATGGTCACTGGGGGGTATCATTCTAGTGGATTGTTTTTTTAGGGATTTTTTTGGCCTCTTGCTATCACGTATTCTGTGATTTTGTGTAAATATTGCTATCAAAATGGAAAAGCAAAGTAATTGGTAAAAGGTTTGCATTTCATACAAGCAAGGAATTATAAATCTTGAAGAGCACAGGTTCCTGACACATTGTGTTGTAGCTCATTGTGGAGGCTAAATTCCTGCTGCAAGCCTGTGACCAAAAGAATTCATGTAAAATTTGGACTTACAAATAACACAATATTGAGTAGATTTTTGTTTTTTAGTAGTGCAGTCGATTTTGGAATTCTAGTGATGCAAGAAATTTAACTTGGTACATCATGGCACTTCAGTAAAGCATTCAAGGTATTCTACACCAAATAGATAAGAAGCTCTTTCTATTTTTGGTCTGTAATTTTAGAGACTTAATAGGAGACTTCAGAGTCAAACTGTAGCAAGCAAGGAAGGTTTGACATCATCTCTCTTGTGAATAAAATATGGTTAAATTTACTATCTTTTCCTCCCTCCAAAAAAAATAGTAGTTTAACTACTTGCCTGGGGCAGAGTGGAAGACTTTAATTAGCACTCATAGTAGAGAACTATGCAGTGGGAACAAATGGCTGGAAATTGAGATAAACAAATTAATAACAGTGTAGGCCTAATTTAGACATATAATCACTTAAAACACAACTGAGGAAACTTCCCAGAAGTTATTCTTACCTGAGCTAGAATGTCAATTCTGTTCTTCAGCAAATGTCAAGTTGAATTTGGTTTGTATGTATTCTTTTGAATAGCTGTATAAATGAAACATGCGAGAACCTCAGTTTTCCTTCCTGTGTAATGTTTTCCAGGATTAGATAAACTTCATCTGTCAAACAATCCCAGAGACTCAGAGACAAAGCCGTCTGCAAATGGGCATCAGAAAACACTGTGATGAACAATCACCTGCAATCCACAGAGCTGAAAACACCAACCTCATGGCATTCC